AGGGATGGGAAGGGGCAAGGAGTGGAGTGGAGTGGGTAGGTAGAGGGAGGTACTTTGTGAAAGCTAACGAACGTCTCGAGTGTTGCGGGATTCGGCGCTGGGTGCGGATGTTTGGATGGTTGGGGGAGGTGTGGTGGCTGAGAAGGGTAAGCAGGTCGGTCTATCTGTCTTGAATGCGGTTAGGGAGCGAAGTGGTAAAGGTCCCTTCGGGGATGGTCCAACGCGTTTCAGCGAAAAATTGGAGAGCCGAGACTTGGATTTGGACTTGGACTTGGATCTGGATCCCGCTGGCTTCTGCGCCGGCTTTGCGTAGGTAACTAAGTGGGTATATACGCTTTTCGATCCTCGGTTGGCATCATGTCTCTCGCTGGATTTGAGGGCATTTTGATATTGATATTGATCTTGATCTTGATGTTGGGGGTTAGACTTATAGTAGCTGAGGTAAGGTAAGGAGGTAAGGTAAAGTAAATATAAGGGAAGGGCATGTCGGTAGATTGATCTGATAACGGAACTCGTTGTAGGTCCGATAGAGCTCTCCGTCGCGAGAAAGAGATACAACTAGCTAAAGGGTCATTTGACTGATGGATGGTGCCGATTATTCGTCCGATGCCTGTGCCCCATGCCGGTGCTTTCTCCACCGAATTAAGGAGCCCTTCTTACCGCCGAAGAGCCTCTCGGATGCTGGAGCTCTTTTTTTCCCGCCGCGGACAGGGGGAGGATTCCCGTTATTCTGTTCTGTGTCGGGATTTATGACTTACATTATCGCCGGAACGGGATGGGATGGGACCGATTGATCTGTTGATTAGTGCGGGGGCTAGGCATGGCATCTCAGATACCCTCGTCTGCGGAGTCCGCATCTTTCATAACTTTCTCTGGTCGAGAATTATGTGTCCATATCGGCTTTGGGGGACGAGGCTTTTGTTTTGTAAATAAAGCTCGCTTCGTCTGTAGCCACCCCTTCTTTGCCCTTGCTTGGAAAGTCATGACGGAGAGGGTCTGGTTCGATGGATTGATTGATTGTGTAAGTAAGTAAGTAAGTAAGTAGGTAGGTAGGTAAGTAGATAGGTAAAACGAAACGGAGATAAGTGAAGTCCGGAGAGCTGGGCGCGATATCTGGTTTGTGGGATACTGGAGAAGGTATGTGGATCCGATTCACATTGATGGAAGTATGATATACCTAGACCTGATGGGATACCGAAGAGAGCTAGCTGTACAGATACTACTAGATAGTAAGTACTCCATGCTGGATTCCGTCGCACCGAACAATTCCCAGAAGTTGTACGTGTACACCCACGGAGGAAGGTCCGCCGTGGGTTTAGAGTTCGATATGCAGGGAAACCAAAATCTAATTATGCATACAGGCAATCAAGAAGTTCAAGGAGGGCAGGGAGAGTTTTAAGGTCGGGGCCGTGCCGTAACTAACCCTCTGCCCCACGGCCAGCGATCTCCTATGCCTCGACAATTAAGTGGATCTTGATCTTGCGTGCCCTCAACACATTAAAATCAGATGCCGCTCTATGCGAGCCCACGCGTCCCCTTGGTGCGCGCAAAGTAAAATAGAAGAAGGGCCGGCCCGTTCGGGGGGGGGGGAAAAGAAGCTATTCGCAAAGTCGGTGTGTTGCAGGATCGCGAGGGGGACGTACGTAGTAGATATTTAGAAAACAGCGGATTAAGCGCAGAATTTATTATTAACTTTGCGCTGGGCCGGCGGTCCGCAAGACACCTACGTCTTGTTTTTTTCTTTCTTCTTATTATAATAGCCAGCTCTGCTAAGTATAAGCAGAACAAACAGCAAGGGGTCGCTAGCCTCTTTTTTTTTTTTTTTTTTTTTTTAGCGTATCCTATCGACGTACGCTCGCTGAAAACTGATCAGCTCTGATCTCGTTATGTGCATTGCCTTGCTTAAGCCGAGAATAATTAAGCATATGGTGAGGTTTCGAGAAATTGTTCGTGTGGTTGTAAGCTAATTGTGCAGGCCGTATTTCACCACATACACGGCAGACCGTCATTCAGCTTGAGGTGCTGAGGCATGCGAAATCGTGCTCCACTACGTTCGAGGCACGGCAAATCTTTGGCTCTTTTCCCCTCCCTCTCATTTCAGGTGAAGTAGAAAGTAGAAGAGAGTTTCGTTTGATAAGGGACACGAATTGGCGTTGACGCCGCTGCTTGATACTGCGTTTCTGGGACATGGCCTTCTAGGAGAGAGACTCACACAATCAACTCATTGATTACAGCTACCATTTTGCAATCGTAGGGTTCAAATTCTCGCATCAAACGACGTATGGGTGTTCGCTGATAAGGCAGAGATATGTATGGAAACACAACGAGCCGCGGAGGCTGAGACTTCACGGCATGATAAGCTTCCGCAAGATAGAGGAGCTGGCTGTCTCCGCCACGGTCTTTCCCATATACAAGAGTGATTTTATTGCCTTCTTTTCAGTCTCGCATTTCGCATTTCGTTTAAGAGAGTTTAGGCGCGAAGTTGTAAGACCTACTGACTGACACTTCCGCATTGCTTGCTTGCCTTTGATATGGAGGTACCTACAGCGGTTACACAATTCCGATCCATCACGGGAGCTAGCTTGATCGAGCAATACCTCTCCAATCCTTCGCATGAGCTGCGATCAATTTGCGTGCGGCTATTACGGATTGCGTAAGAAAAGGCCGGCGATTTCGAATTTCCAAGCGCTTGTTGAGGGTATGCCGGAGCGTGGTCGGGATGGGAACGAGGCTGGTGGGAAATCTTGAAGATATTAAAATAGCAATCCTTTCTTCTAAAGTATATATCATGTTACCGCGTCTAGCGACACGGTGCAGGGGACCGTAAAGGTATTGCTCGATTAAGCTACTATCCACTAGTCGTAGCAATTACGGCCTAAGGGTAGGGAATGGAGAGAGGATACGATGTACGGATGTCTATCTGGGAGAATCGGAGAAGGGATTCCGCGGTGGGGACATTAGTTGCGCTGCTGGTGGTGGGATTATAGGTCTTTCTGAACATCGTACTTGGCTTTACGGCATGATGAGCCTCCGCAAGCTAAAGGGAGCCTTCTCCGTTGTGCTCTTCTCCATATAATAATACTTATACACAACCTTCTTTCTCGTTTCGCATCTCGCATTTCGTTTAAGAGAGTTTTAAGCGCGTGGTCGTACGATTACCGGCACTTCCGAATTGCTTGCCTCCTTCAATTCCGTCCGTACTTTCGTTGAACGGGATAGCCCTGGATGTGATTGAGCGGTAAGTACACGGACACATCTGCGACGTTTTAAAAGATAGACTTTAACGCGTATCGTCGGCTTTCAAGGTGTACTACTACTGGTCTACTGGTATCGCCTTCCCGGAAACAAAGGCAGGAGGACCCCCAGGGTAGCGCGGCTAGGTTCTTGTTGTGTTTGGGCTCGTGCCACCGTGGTTACGCTGATATTTCTTTCTAAGGGATGGAGGGGTTGGAAGAGGGTCAAGAAGCAGACTTGAAGATACGGATAGGATATATAGACTTTGAATGTACAGAGTGGAGGAGGTCGTTCTACGTACTTTACTATCCCCTCCTTAGATACTCCGTAGATGCCGGTCTTCGTTTAGCCCGATGCATCTAGAGCGGTGGTTTCTGAGTGGCTCAAAGCCCTGTCGATTTTACTGCACAGACTAAACACTTGCTTAAAGATCCTTTTCAAGACTAGATCGTGATAATTCTATTAGTTCAAGCCCTGCTACTAGTAAGAGCCCTTGCAAAATTATACTTCCGGAATTTATCCATGAGGAGGGGGGGCCACGGAAGAGAAATCTGCATTGAGAAGCTGGAAGCGAACATAAATCGAGGATCTACACGGGACTTGTGAAGTCCCGCACGGGATTTGTTGTAGTCGTTGTATTTATCGACGTCTGGCGGGTATCCAAGACGCAATGCTTGGACCAGAGGACCTCCCACGTGGTACGGCGACGTGCTAAGTGAAGGATATAAACCCTTTAAAAGCATTTCCTAAGAACGTGCGCCGAGTTTTCCTTCGTCAACTATCGAATACGTATGGCCCTACGGGCGGCCTCGACCCGTATGACTACAAGCATCGTTCTCTCTTGTCGAAGAGCTAAAAAAGGCTCGCGTTCGTAGCCCTTGTGTACAGAGCCGGTATGTTTGCAGAACGCTCTTTCGAAGGCGCAATGCCGTGTTTTCGATCATCCGAATTAAGCCCTTCTCATCTTATCTCTTACACCCGTTCCCTTTCTATCGCAGATCCTCTTGGTCTTTTTACATCGGTATGCCCGTTACGTATAAATCGTAACCGGCATGGTGTTCGAGAAGCGAGAGGAAAGAGGGTCGAGACCGCTCGTAAAGGTAGATCTTCGGCGCTCTAGACTCTTTGCCGCAAGGGAGAGCTGAAGGTTCGTAAGAGGCACCTCGTACAGGTGAAGAATCGTAGCCTCCTCGCACGGGATCTGTGGAATGCGAAACAGGGAATTGGGCGGTCCGGGGTCATCATTGTGGATTTAACATACGACCAGAAAATTGGGGGATTTGGATAAAATATAAAACAGTTGTAGGATGAAGGTTGGTGACGTATTTAAGAATTCTTGTCCAGTTCCTTATACTATTGGTATTCGGAGTGTCTATTGTATACTCTTGGCTTTGGACGTACCGTTATTACTAGGTTGCTTTCACAACGGTCTCTTGCTAAGTACTTCGGTAAACGGGTATACAGCTTCTGTCAACGGCTGGGAGGCGGCAGCGTAGTAGTAGTAGTAGTAGTAGTAGTAGTAGTAGTAGTAATAGTAGTAGTAGTAGTAGTATTGATTTGCGTCTAGCGGGTAAACAGCGGAGCAAGCGCTTCTCGCCCTGGGACCTCCCATAGGGTACGGAGACGTGTAAAGCGAAGGGTTCACAAAAATTCCATCAAATCCATCTAACAAGCGCCAAACCTCGATAATCTTCTCTTGGACCGACCTAATATCATCCTATAGTACCCCCGAATAAATTTCGAAAAAGTTGTTATCGAAAGATAAAGATTGAGTACTCCCGTCCCCTACGGATAGGATGGATAGTACGGAAAGGAGAAGATTATTCCTAGTCGAACTCCAAAACTCGATATCTCATTCTCGACCTCAGGAAAGCTCGGGAGGCGGCAGCGTAGAGCAGGCGGGCGGGGACGCTCGTGACTCCCTAGCAAGTTGAATAATGATAGTTAACATAGACAACTCAAGCTAGCAGATACTCGCTCGATCGAGATTGATACCATATGATGCATGCCATTAACTAATGCGATGGGGTTTGCTAACAATAAAGTGCCGTCTCGCTTGTAAGCGAGAATACGGGTCTGTATTCGGAAAGTAAATAAACAGCGGGACAAGCGAAACTTGAATCCATGTGAGGCACTGCTCTCGCAATCACCCAAACCATGGCTTCTCTTGCCTGTTATAGGGTGCGAATGAGGCTGTTTTGTGCCATAGTAGATGATTATAGTGCCATTTCACTTACAGGGCCCGGACGAAGCTAGTTATTCATGCTCCTCAAGCTGACTTCCTAAGAGGTCACCTCCTCTTCACTTATTGCATATTGACTGTCTTTCCATTTCTTAGAAAATGGCCTCATGTATCGATAAGAGCAAAGTCTGTAGCTATCTAGTATCGGCAGTGTAGGTGACGCATTCCACTTATCGGGCTTTTTAGGACATGACACAGAACAGCAGAGCGACAGAATACTTAACCACTATAACAGTGTGCTCAATTCCACGAGAGGGAGACTCAAGGCTTTTGCGAGAGAAAGGACTCCCCAGAGGTGCTAATCGTTGTTCAAAGAACATGTGGTATCTTGCTTAGAGCTATTGGAATATTCAAGTATCGATGGCATTTCTATGGCTCAGCTCGCTCCACCAACTTGAACTAGGACATTAGGCAATCTTCGTTCGTGATGCCGTGAGTGATTGTCGTGTCATCCTATCTCTCCGTAGCAGCCATGTGGGCTGATGATGCCATCATGGCATTGACGTGCGACTGGGTCCCCCATCTGCGGGCCGGTCCCTGCGTGCCAGCGATGGTTTTCGGATCGCCACTTCTGTTCCGGATGCGGCTACAGAAACTAGAACGATATGACACGAGATAGGAAAGAATTTCAGAATCATATATATGTCTATGATTTCCTACCCCGCAGTCGGTTTACGGAGCTTGGCTTCCTATCATTCAGTATTTGTTCTTCTCAACTCCTCCGCCATGATCTTTAGACCACCCTACATCTCCAGACTCCAGAGAACACCGCAAACATGACGCTCACCGTCGAAGTCATTACATTTGTTTCGAACTTCCGATGGTATATCATTAGGTCTGTCTTGACGGCGTATGTAGCGAGTAGCTATCGACAGTACCGACGTTTGAGTACTTTTAAGGGTCCACGGCTCGCTGCCTGGACCGATCTCGTAGATACACCCTAGCCATTTTCCAAGACCAGGAATTTCAAGGAAAAATTGGGCTGTTAACGATGAATGATGGCGAGGCTTGAGAGAAGAGTCCGCCACTAACTTTGACAAAGTGGTTCGCGAAGAGTGCCTTTGGCATCGGCCCCCGGGCCACGAAGTGCTAGCTGACATCTGCTGGAAAAAGAGTCAGTGTTTATATTTCGGTAAGATGGCTCCTGGCCGATCTTGACTTTCCATAGGGACACTGGTGCGGATGGGCCCAGATACATTGATCACAAACTCGCCAGAACTGGTCATGAGAATAAGTGCTGCGAGATCTCCATACATCAAAGGCGATGTGAGTATGAACTGGCTTCTATAACGCATTTTCATGTCCTGTCGAGCGTTTCTTGGCTCAACTTGACGCGGTTGTTCTGGGGATTGCGCTGAAGCTATACAGTGGTACCATAGTGTCAAAATGCCACCCTACCAACACTATATTTTCAGTGAGGACGATGAAAAAAAGATGACTTATCGTCGAGCACAGATGACTGAAGGGGTAAGTGACTAGCCATCATTAGCCGAGTCTACTGGCTGATGATCGCTTTGTAGTATTCTGGCAGGACGAACCCGTTAATAAAGCCCTATATCGACAAACATATCCGGAATCTGCTTAAACTCATTCGTGCTAATTATGTCTCCACGGATGCCTCGTTCGTTCCCCTCGACGTGGGTAGACAGACTAGCGTCGTTTTTCACTCGGGATGTCATAACTGATATTGCCTACGGCCAACCGTTCGGAAATCTCATCTCGGACACTGACATGTGTGACTACATCAAATCGACAGAGGCCATGCTTTTCTTGATGGAAAAACTTGGCGCTGAGCCACTGCTGAGAAGGGTGGTTCAGACGGACTGGGTTAGCAAGCACTGTTTCCAAGTGACAAGAGTGAGAAAGGTATCGGGAAGATGCGAGGGTAACAACCCTCCCTTCTGCACCATCCTTCGCCGAAATTCAGATTTGGATTAAAATCGCCGTGCTGCGCTAACATGATAACAGCATTTCAAAGAGGCTGGTCCGTGATCGCTTCGCCACGACCAAAGTGATGCCGAAAGACATGCTCTCGGTGTGCATGTCGCACGGCCTCAGCGAGAAAGTCATAGTCGCCAAATCCACCGTCAGTATCCTCGCAAGGTCAGATACCACGGCGACAGTCATCCGCGCGACACTCCAGTACACCGTCACCGACCCGTCGACACTCTTCAAGCTCCAAGCCGAGATGGACACATACCTCGCGTCCACAGCCGGTGCTGGGAACACCACCACCTCGGCCGCGGACATCATCCAAGACAGCGAAGCGAAAGAGCTCCCGTACCTCCGTACCTCCGCGCAGTCATCAAAGAAGGGCTGCGAATCGGGTCACCGACGACAAGTCGCCTGACCAAACTTGCCCCTCCAGATGGCGACCTGGTCGACCTCGACGCGCACCGTACCGGGAAACCCGAGAAGGTCTTTATCCCAGGCGGGACCAACATCGCCTGGACCTCGCGGGAGGTCAACGAACGGGGAACAGACCTCTTTCCCTCTCCCTATATATCTCTCTCCTGAAAACCTCTTGCAGGGAGAAGGGCGTCGCCGACTTCGCCCGTGTACTTCTAGGGGTGTGCAGCAGGACAATTGGATCTTCGGGCAAGATACGGACCTATCCCGGTCCGAGAGGTGGCTCATTGGTGATGTCGAGAAGCTGGCCTACGTGGACAAGGTGGCGGACCTGAACTTTGGTTGTGGGAGGTACCGCTGTCTCGGCTACCGCATTGCGTGGACGGAGCTGAACAAATGCCTCCTTGAGGTGAGCCTGTGTCTTTCCGTGGGTGGAATTTTCCTGGCTCCTAATGCGCCGTGGCAGCTGTTCCGGAATTTCGATGGCCAGGTCGGTGCTACCGCCCGCTCTCCCGTTTGGGATGAGATACCCTCCAGATACCCTCCCTCCCCTGACAGGCGAGGAAATCTACCAAGTGTGTTCTGGCTGACTGGTTTTGCTAGTTTGTCAACCCGGCAAGGCCGTGAAAGTCTGAGAGCCGTATCTTGTGGCTCCAGAGCCAGCTGTAGGTAAAAGTCACCGAGCGAAAGCGTTGATGGGACCTATATCGCTTAAGTGTTTTTTATTATTATTTTCACACGTACGAGACGGAGGAGGAGGAAGAAGAGTTTCTAATCCGTATCAGAGGCAACAAATGTGTCTATTTTCTATACTTCACAAATCAAAATGGATTATGAAAATCTGCATATTGTACCCGATTTCTTGGGGGGGATTTTTTTTGGGGAGTGTTTGGAAGTGAGAGGTATAAATAATCAGATTAGCTAGCTAGCACTTAGGTGACACCCTCCTTTCGTCGCATCTAGTCCAGATACCACGGAGCTAAAGAGTACACTGTGTATCTCGCAGAATCTCCATCCCAGTCCCGGTCATCCGCAGAGAGCCGGAATATGACAGGAACGGAGCTGCCCAAACGCATACTCTCTACCCACAAAGCTCGACCATACTCCACCGCCTTATCATAATCTAACAAAACAAGAGCCCGACTAGCTCGCAGTTGCACGCTGCAAAACCTGCCTGGCTCGCCACCAGCAGATGGAATAGCGATCCGCAACTTGAGATTTAAGAAGTAAAATAAAATCCGTCATGGCGACTACCAAATTGATTTCTAGCCGGAGTAGAACCCAATATCAACACCGCCACCGTGTCGATGTCTCCAAACCTCGAGGTTTCATACTACGGAGGCCTCGCCCGCAAGTCTCTTTGCCAAGTCGAAGTCGAAGCCTGCAGCTGAAAAAGACTACCAGGGAGCCTACCGCGCGGAAGAGGAGAGCGCGCGTGTTGTCGGTCTTCGTACGGTTGTTTCTGCAGTGCTGAACAGCGGCGCATGCTCCTATCGCAGCAGCGACGACAACACCAGTGTTACGATGGCGCAGGTCACGCTTTTGCAGTGTATCTTTCGAGGAAGCCATGGCAGAGAGAGAGGTAGCGTTGTTGAAAAAGGGGAGCGAAATAAGCGGGGGAGGGAGAAGGGGAAAGGCGGGGGGGGGGGAAGAAAAAAAAAGCATGCAACTTGAGCTTGCATCTTGGGAGTTGCAGCTTTTCCCATACAGATGGATCAATTCTTGCATCCTACGGTAGCGTGCACCTTGCAGATGCAAGAATGTAGACGCCATACAGACAGACAGACATGCTTACAGACAGACAGACAGACAGACAGACAGACAGACAGACAGACAGACAGACAGACAGACAGACAGACAGACAGACAAACCGTATATTTACCCCAACCGCCAGCCCAACCGATCCCATCCCCTCAGTCAGCCAGGAAAAGAAATTCTAATCCCAGATAGAAAGACACAATACAACACATTACAATAAAAAACAACACAACACAACCCAAGCCAAAACCCACCCATCAACCAAATCGAAAACCCATCACCGCGATCAAAAACACCCGCCTGAGCTTAAGCGAGCTCCCCTTTCCTAAAAGGTAAACCAACCTACCTTACCTACCCCACCTCCCCAAACCAACCCAACCCAACACTACAAACCCACCTCCCCTCAACCCCCTCCATCGCCCCCCACCTCCCCTCAAGTGCATCAAACGAACGGATACACAAGATAAACGAACGAGAGCAGTGCCGATACGTACTTTCCTACTTCCAACTTCGTATCTTGCTTCATGTTAAGCCCTCCCTGTCTAGAAAGGGTAAAAGGGTTAAAAAAAAAAAAATGAAAAAAAA